CTCTTGAAACTCTCCAAAGAGCTTCTTGAACAGGTCCTCCTTCTGGTTCTCCGCGAGCTGCTCCAGGAGAGCCTCCGAGAGGTTGCCGCTGCCCTGGCGGTACTTCTTCACCATCTTCAAAATCTCCTCGACGGGCAGCTTGTCTGCTTCCTCCTTCGTGATGATCCCCTTGTGGATCAAAGCTTTCTTGGCCTGTTTCGCCTCACGCAGAGGGCCTCTTCCATGTTCCGGCTTGCTGTTGGACCGCTTTGCGGTGCTCATGGTCTCGTTGTCGGACGGAGGGTCTGGCTCCTCCATCAGAACATCTTCCGGCACTTTCGTGCTCTCGGTGCGGGCATCGAGCCCCTCCAGGGCCGTCTTGTCCAACTTCTTCACACTCCCGCTGGCCGGCTCCATGGCGAGGAGCTACGAATTTAGATCTATATATAAAAGGTGCCCACACAAACAAAATCTACAATTAAAAACACATCTAAACTATAACAATAACATACATTCGCTAACCATCTTATAGATGCCTGCCCTAACTCGGTGTAACACCAAGAAAGGGACAGGCGGGCATAAAAGAAAGTAAAAAGCTGCTTGCTACCACATGTCACATGTGTGTGAACCTGTCAAAATAACATAACATGCTTTCGCAACCCGTCCGACGGTTGCACACCAAAAAAAAGCTGCCGCTGCTTCGCGAAGCCACACACACAGGCACATGTGTGAACATGCTTTGGCATCCGGTCTTGTGAGCACACACAAGCAACTCTCTCTCTCTCTCTCTCTCTCTCTCTCTCTCTCTCTCTCTCTCTCTCTCTCTCTCGGAGGTCCTGCCACGAAAAGACCGAGAATGTTTGCCAGGACCACGAGGAGCTCCGCAGATCTTCGGCTTGCCTGTCCTGCCACACAAAGATGAAAAGATCACCAAAACCGGGAGCACATTCACTGTTCGAGCAAGTCCTGCCACCACCATAGCCGGCCATCCAGGGCGGTCACATCAAAGCACACTGTGCATCTATCAACGATACAGGATTGTGAACTTGTTCTGCTCGTCTCTCAATCACCCTATATAGATATATATATATATATATATATATATATATATGTATCGACAACCCGACATATATACATATATATATATATATATACATATATATATCCTAAACCAGAAAAAAACATCCATATTATATGTTCGTAATAAGTGCAAAAAAGGAAGTCCTCTGCTGAGTGCGAGAGACCCACCCCTGCCCTGACTCGGTGTAACACCAAGAAAGGGACAGGGGCGGGCTTGAGCTGAGTGCGAGAGACCCACCCCTGCCCTGACTCGGTGTAACACCAAGAAAGGGACAGGGGCGGGCTTGAGCAGAGACACACGGCCCGGCACAGCCCTAATTCTAATCATGAAAATCACAAGTGCCCTCGCAATGCCTTCCGGCTTTAGATGGCCTCCCCCGCGGTCTTTGCAAACACCGGTGTAAGTCTCACCTCCACTCGGCCAGGGTGGAACCGCCATGCCCGAGGGGTGTGCACCTTCCTTCAACAAGGTCACAGGAGTGTGCTTCCGGTTTTGCCGCCCCCGAAAGCCCGGACGGAAGCTTGTCTGCTTCCTCCTCCTTCATGACCCCCTTGTCGACGACCGCTTTCTTGGCCTGTTTGGCCTCTAGCAGCTGACCTCCGTGAGCCGGTTCCGGCTTACTTGAGGAGGTCCAGTGCTACCGACTGGATCTGCATCCAGACTTGCCGGTCGAGGAGTGGTGCAGGGACTTGCCCTCAAGCCGCAGGCCAGTGGCCCTGCAGTGATGTATGGCAGGGGGTAGGTGATACTGTTTCACGGACAATCATGCACAAGTCACACAAGCAAGAACGGATTTCAGGAGCTCCTGTGGTTTAGAGGATACATATATATATATATATATATATATCATAAAAATGCATCCTGCCAAGTGCGATACTCGGTGTCACACCAAACGACAAAGGGGAACCCTAGCCCTGCCCGATAACTCGCTCTCTCGCTCTCTGGCTCTCTCTTTCTCTTTTTCTTTTGTTTTTTCACCGAAACAAGACAAGCCATGCTCGCGGGCACTTCGGCTTGTGCTCGGCCTTCGGAGTCACAACTGTACATGTTGTCTCTGTCGGCAAATCTCGCTCTCGGAATCTATACGACCCTATCGCCACGTCGGCCTGCCCGGCATTCGGAATCCACTACTTTTTCCACACTTCACACTTCCCAGTGCCTGGTTTTCAAAACACCTTTTCGGCACAGCTTGGCCCATTGAACAAAATAGGACAAAATTTACACGCCAGAATTTACACGAAAACCTGTAATTTTTTTACACACCAATTTGGCGTGTAAATAATTTATAGCGCTTTTGGCCTGTAAATTTTCCGAACGTGTAAAATTACATGAAATAGATCTTACAGGTCGCTCGAGCCGCTCCAATGCCCTTGAAGCTCGTGCCGCTCGAGCGCACGCTGGTGAACTGCAACCCAAACTTTGCCAGGACCTTTGAGGAGTGAGCCCTCCATTTCGTCCCGTGGCACGTCTGGTTGCAGCCCTCGTCCAGCATCACCCAGACGTTTTCGTGGTCCTCTAAGGGATCCACGAGCTGGAGTTGCGGCTCAGCAATCTCCTCGTCCAGGGGTGCAGGCTCACTGTCTGAGCTCTGCACGCTCTTCGGGCTGATGTCTCCTTCGAGGTCGAGATCATCCTTCTGCAGCTGCCCCACCAGAGCGGTGAGCGTCAGCTTGGTGTCCTCTCCAGGATCACCTTCCTTGTCCACCGTCGCCACGCCGGCGAACTTCTCTCGGCTTCCCCAGCCCTTTCCGCTGGGAGGCGACGCCGCCATGGCGTCTCTAACAGCTGCGCCTCTCTCTCTCGGGCCAGCTGCTGCTGCGGCGGCGGGCGACGCATGCTCACGAGGCTGTGCACTCCTACGCTCACGACGCACAGGAGAAAACGCAGGCAAAGGTGGGGGCTCTACTTCCTGACTAGACCTAGCTACGTCAGCTGCCCTACCATGTTGCATGCGTAACTTCGTTTGCTCTACAACTTGGTCCATTGCATCCTCAAGGCAACTAGACAACTCGGTTGAACTGACGTCGTCAACTTTCAACAAAAACTTGTCCATGTGCTTGAAGAACTTCTTAACCACCTCACCTGCCTCAAACTTCGTAAAGTTGTACTCCTCCAGCTGTCTCCTCGTGAGGCTCTGCACCTTGAGTGGGGACTGCTGCACCTGCTCGGCGAGTCCCTTCTGCTCCTTAAAGAGCTTCTGCGGGATTTCCTCTACCACAGTGCAACAATCAAGGCAAAAGGTGCGGTGTACCGATCTCGTGCTGTTCCTGTTGTCTGTGCGCTTGTGCTCGCACGTGAGGGGGTCGTTCTTCGGTACAGCCTTTGGTCTCGGGTTTGAGGTCCGGGTGCCGCACAACACGCAAGTAGTCTTGATTACATGCGCGTTGCTACCGGCTTTGTTCAGAGCGTGCGCGGGACAGCCGCCAACACGCGGTCCTTTGGGATCCGCCTTCAACAACCCGAGCTTGCTCTTAGGTGCCTTCTCAAGGGTCACCTCCTTCCTAGCCTTCTGCAGCGAGTCGGCCTCCACCGGCAACGTGACCGCCCTGAGTGTAGCCCTTCCACCGCCGACCGGTGGAACCTCAAAGTTGCGATACACCCAGATAAGCCATGCTTCTAGCATGGTGCTCGGCTCTTTCTCCTTGAGGCCCCAATGGTAGTAATCGGGGTGGCTCTGCAAAACCTCAAGGTAGGTGCTACCCCTGTGCATCCCGAACCGAAACACCTGGTCGCTGCCATCAGGGTACTCTATGGTATCCCATTCCGTGGAGGGGGCGCCTTGCGACGCAAAGTCGTCCAGGAGCTCTTCGTCGGACTCTTCAAAGTCGGTCCTGTCGAAGAAACCCATGTACGCCGCAGGCTCCGTCTCAGAGTCCTGACCCAAGCTAACGTAGTTCGCTGTTGGCTCCGGGTCAAAGCTGTGACTCTCGCTGTCGCTCTCGCTGGAGCTAGCGCTGAAGTCGCAGGTCTGTGTGGATTTATCCATCACACGCCTGACCTGGGCAAGGTGTGCCACTGCAGGCTTTCCTGCACCTTTCCCTGGGCCTGGGCATTCCTTGTCACCAGCCCAGTGGCCCTTTCTGCCACACGTTTTGCACGTGCTCCTGAGTTTAATCTCATGGAGCTTCCGTCTCCTGTCTTCAACAGTGAGACCGGTAGATCGCGGCCGATATCCATGTGCACTCTTCTGCATCACAGACTTTCCTTTACCCTTAGCCTTGGCCCGCGCCATAAAGGCAACGGTCTCGCACTGCACGGTGTTTGCGAGAAACGCCAAAGCCTCTTTGTCTTCCTCGTCGAACCCAGCGCCTATAAAGGCGGTGAAGACATCAAGCTCGACGTCCCTTAGGGAAGCGTCGGCCGACTGGGCAACACACGCGGTGTCCTCTTCTCTGTCGTACACGGGGAGCTCTTCTCCGTGGTACGCCCAGTCCTGCCCATCACCGTCCTGGCCGTCCTGGTCCTCTTGGCCTGCCAGGTAGGCTGTTCCGTCGTCGTCTTCTTCGGCGCCAGGGTACTCGAAGAGGTCTTCCACGGCCGAAAGGTACGTGTAAGCAGTCCCTTTCTGGGATCTCTTGCCGTATCCTTTACCTTTTCCTCGGTCTCCCTTCCTGGGAAAACCTTTCCCTTTGCCAGTTCCGCCTTTGGCGGATGGCTGCCTTCGTTCCAACGTATGGATACGATTGTGCATGCGAATCAGTGATGCCTCGGCATCCTTCGTCGCTGTGCTGCCTGACATCGAGGTCAGCACCATGAGTCGCTCTTGCCGGGTGAGCCCGCTGTTGTCCAGCAACAGATCTGTCAGCACCGCTTCACTTATGTGAAGGGCCTTATCCAATTGCTGAAGCTTGCGTAGCCACCGCTTGCGGCGGTCGATGTAGGAGATCATCGGCTCTCCCGGCTGTCGTGACAACATGCCGCCGACTTGGGTCCCTAACCGTTAAAGTTCCTTCGTCTCTTGTTCCGCCAGAGGGAACAGGCGTTCTCTAACCGCCTCGATCACCTTGGGGATGTTCTGACTCGAGAACAGAACGTCGGTACCCAAATCTTCTGCGACAATGTATGCCTCGCTCCTTAAGGAGTCGAGGAACTTGGACGCAAGGTCGGATCTATCCTCCACCTTGGTCTGCTTCCACCTTGTCATAGCTCGGAACTCCCATTCGTGGAAGTCACGAACGGTTCCAGCATAGACTAGGAAGCCAAACTTCGTCAGGTCTGTGTCCAGATCCTGGTGTGGTCGATATGCCAGCGATCCACTAGCCATGGCGACCACACGCCCGCGCAGGGGGCGTACTATTGGGCTACGAGCTCTGGTTCTCTTAACCGAGAGCTCCGCTACCAGTGCGAAGACTAGTCACTTTTCCGCAAAGCCGTAGGCTTGGTCCAAGGGGCCCCTGCGGTAGAGGGGAACGTCTGAAACTGTACAAAACGCTAGGTACACACACTGTACGCGCTGCAAAACAGGTTAGTTTCACACGATGTATTTCCTTTCTGTGCCTACGCGCTCCAGTTCCAAAGCTTGCGAAACCATCTTTTTCTACCTCGTCTGAGCGTGGCGTGCTTGACTCAGGCCCTGGCGTTGTGTTGTGTCAAACCGAATCCTACGACCCACCGTCATTCAACAGTCTTCCAACATCGCCTGCAGAGACAGACCTATGGACCCTGCTCGATTTATCGCGTAAAACGTTCTCCGCTGCTGAGGGCGACCCTCGGGAGGGCTGAGCGCGTCAGAGTTTTGCTGGGGATCTTTTAGAAGGGTCTGGAGAGACCCCCAGATGTCCTGCACAGACTCCACAACTGCCAACAACAAAAAACTACACACTGCGCTCTGGCGAACATCCTGAGACGCGACAGGGCAGAGTAGGCCCCAAGGCACCTAGAGCTCGGACGGCGCTTGCAAGACCGGGTCAACACCCAGACCCAACTCCACAACATCCCAAATGGGCAGAAGCCTCGCCCAGCGGAGTCACCGGAAGGCACGGTGACGAGCCCGATGGGCAGTGGCTGGTTGAAAGCCCCGTGCGGCGGAGCTCTTCCCCATCACACCGTGGCCGGCGGCACAAAAGCTGCCCCGGAAACGGCAGCGGCCTCCAGGTGCACATCCCAGCCGTTCATCACAATGCTGCGCGTGGGCGCCGGACGCGCGGAGGTGGAAATTGCAGCCAACATCGGGTGCCCGTGCATATGGCACCGCTTCGAGGCCAAAACACATCGTACCTCTTAGCACTGGGGCACCACTTCGAAGCCAACATAGCGGCAACAAATCGTATGAGACATCGGCACGGCGGCCCCAATACTTACCAGGATTATCTGATCATACGACCGAAACCCTTTTTCGGACCAATGGGCATTTAGAGGAATTACAATCAGGAGAAGCAGTGTCGGCAGCGTGAGACTGCCACAGTTTTCGTCAAACACGGCTCACGGCTCAAGCCAGTCACACTTCACAAGTTCACGAAAGTTGGATGAGCTTTGCGGGTTGTGACTGAGGGTTATCTGGCACTTGGCTTAGACTGCCCACTCACGTAGGATCCTCACGCGGGGCATATTACGCATCACTGCAAACAAAGGGCTTGGCGTCAGGGCGTGAGCCAGCGACTGCGAACTGCAACTAGCGACTTGCCGGCACCCGTGGCCTCAATGTCCTCGTGGTTCGCGATGCCCGTGCCACCGATTTGCATAGAACAGATTAGATCACGATGACTGAAATTCTCCCATATACCTTATCGACAGAAATTATATGTGTAAACTCATCAACGATGTCTGTCTGCAAATTGGTAAAGGCAAAATCTCCCATCGTACATAAAGAAAAAAAATAGACGTATGTATATGTGGCAAGGACCTTTATGTATTATTTGACGGGCTCCTTTGCTTACACTATATGAAACTATTACAGAAACGTAAATGGGGTGGAGAGTTGGTTTAAGGTTGAGGCTACAGTTTTTGCTTGTTGTGGTATGTACTATACCTCTCACTTAAAAAGGCCTCGATTGCAACACTACGCCAACGACTGTGAGATAACTCTTCAGAAATCATTCGGCATCTCGACGGTGAGGACAGGATGCCGCTGTCGCCAACAAGAACAGGCTGCAGTGATCCAACTCAGACAAGAGGGAAGATGTCTGATAAATGGGGCCTCTAGCAGGCCGTCAATTAGCACAGACGCACTAGCTGTTTAACCTATAGCAGGGTTTAAGGGTTCCGACCTCGTTGCGAGCTTTGTGACCACCCCAGTCTGGATCCCTTTCAGCACTCACTCAGGCGTCACTTGGACATGCTCACCATGTGCCCTACCACCATGGCTCGACTTGAGAATCGATGGATGTACAAACTCTTCACCAAGCAAATCCGGAGATTCATTCTGACAGTGCGCCGAGACAGGAGCAGGCAGTTGATTTTCGGGTGTCGGGTTTTTTGGGGTCTGGGTGTTGGTCAGCGTCCAAGCCGGGCCGGGTTAGGGTCAGCACAACCGAACCGGGAAGCTGGGTCAAGAGGCGCCTGGCAAAGCCTCGACATACAGCCCAACATGACTGATCACAAACGCTGGACAATTCGAGTTGTGACGTTTCGGCGCAGGTACTCTAGCAGTACAGTGGCCAGCTCTCAAACCACCAACGCCCACTATACCATCGGGAGTTTGCGGTGGCAAACCACCGCCGCTTGAGCATCACTAGCATTCCGACACCACACTTTTGTTTGTGAGGTTTGGTAACCGATACAAGCGCTGGGCTTAAGTCGACCCAGGTTGTGTGAAGTCGGCCCTCCCCAAGCTCACGCCCAGATTCGTGCGAAGTCGACCCATCCGCCAAAAGTCGACCCACAGACTGGGATCCGCAACTGCACGCCGGTTTTAAACGAGACAGCCCGACATGTCAAATCTGCGCGTGGCACGAGACTCTTCGCACAAAGTGAAGCAAACGTGCACTGAAACAAACGAAAACTGCAAGTGCACGCCCCGTTCTAGTGGGAGCTATCCAAGCCTCGAAACGAGCGGAAACTGCATGTACACGCCGGGTTTCACGGAGCTTTGTCTGATCCAGCTACATGTTCTTACGAGCTTGTATGCGCTATGCCCATGTGCACGCCCACGCGAGACGACTTTACACAAGATGGGGCGTTTTAAGCCTACTACTAGTAGGTTGTTGGCTCAACCTCACACGAGCTTCGCCGTTCGGACAGTAGTCCACGTTGAACACGATTGACGGTTGCAATGCTCAATTGACAGCTTCACTTGCAGGCACGGCACTACAGACACCTTTTGCTGGCAATCACTCAGCTGCTGGTCTGTGCAAGCGGGAGTCGCTCTATGGCTCCAGGATACGTAGCGAAACAAACGATGTCAGCTAGCTAGCTGTTAAATCTTGAGCCACGATGTTGCGTATACACGGGGCACCGTAAGAAGAGAAGGTCACATCAACGATCTGCGAAGCAGCCTCCTTGATGCACTGTACACTGTACACAAGGTTCGGCAAACGATCCCATGGTACTGACCAAGTGCCCATAGCAATTAGTGCGGTGACCAACGAGTTGGATTAGGCTTCGACATCCGTTCGCACGTTGTAGCATTGTGGCAGGCAGATCCAGGGGCCTTGAGAACAACTTCCAGCATTTCGCTAGCCACTGCAGGCCGTCAGAAAACCGCGAACAACGGCCATCGTACGTTACATCGCGAAAACACCTCCGATGTTTTCTTTAGCGCATGGTCTCCGATGTTTCCTGAGCTTTCGATTGCTAGCTAGAACACACTGTCGTAACTGTTCCTCGTCATGAGTGCAAGCATTCGTATTATTGTTCTCCTGTCCGAATGCCATCAATTTCTAGGCTCCGGCTGGTTCCTGACGGTTGTGATTTCAGGGCCAAGTAGCAGCCGCAAAGCCGGCCAGCTACTCCGCAATCCCCGTCCAACCCGTTGCCGCGTAATCCTTGCTGACGGCCAATGTCTTGCTCTGGCTCACCTACCATCGTTCGATGTCGCGGCAGAAGCCCGAAGTCAAGACATCTCATGGAACTTCAGCCATGATACTGGACCTGGGCGGCGGTGGCTCGCGAGGTTCGGGTAGGCGATGCTTAAGGGGATGCTCATACACGGCTTTGGTCTTTGGGTCCAAGAAAGGTCGCGGGTCAAAGCTTGGCGCCGAGGGCATGGAGATGCGGCTGGCATCGATCGGCTTTGCATTCATAGCTTTTTCACCGGATAGCGTGCCACACTGCGCTTGCTGCTTGTTTGGCTGGAAGGAGGCCCCGAAATACTTAGAGTGCGAATGCAAACTGGTGACCTCTCTCCAAATGCTTCCCAAAGTCTGGTCTTGGTCCTCCAACTTGGACGCTGTGCGCCCGAGGTCGGGCGGCTCAAAAATCAAAAAGTCACATCCATCCAGGTAGCGCTCCAAAAGCTTAACCACTTCACTGCCCATTGCCTCTTCGACAAGGGGCGCCCTGCTTCAAGGCCTGCGGGAGCACAACTCGGCCGGGAAAGGTAGAGCCAGTTCATCGCAGCAACAGCCAGATTCACATAGCGCCTTCTCCAGGCCGATGCGCCGCCACATAGCCCATGGAAAATCTCAGGAAACGGCAGCGGAACGGCCCACGTAGTCCTCCGTGTCGCGAAGGCGATGAAGGAAAATCTCGCCCCAGCGTGGCTCCATGAGCCAAAACATCGCCTGCTCGGTCGGGTCGGGCAAAGCTCGGTTCACAACTTAAGGAGTGGAACGGAGGAGCCAGCTCCAAACTCCGCTCCTCCGCAGCCAAAGTCCACGACCCTCGATCCAATGCCACTTGATCTGCTTGGAGAAGCATCAAGGCTGCTCGCGCTCGTGCCTCGGCCGGGTTGGAGTTGATGAGGTTGAGGATCCGCAGATGAGGGGCGGCGAGTACACACGCCCACGGTAATCCCTGACCACGATCCAGTGTCGAGGTGCTAGGCTGAGGCAATCTCGGCAGGAGCTGCCCCGGTAGTCCCCCTCCCAGGCCCTTCTCAAAAACTGCCCCACACGCTGGCAAACCTCAATTCTGCTCAAAGAAGGTGAGGGTGCAGCAGAGGGCCTAGCCGGCGAAGGCCCCACCGACGATGTTCCCAAACTCCAAGGAGGCGAGTCGTAAGAGGTAGCAGCCGGAGCCGGGGCAACAAGCTCAAAGTCCTGCCGCTCCAACTCAGAGACCCGGGCCCTCAAGCGAGCCACCTCAGCTCGAAGTTCAAGAAGTTCCGCTCGCAGCGCGTCCAGACCCCCGGCAGTCACGTACCCACCAAGGACCATGCAACAGCTG